TAAGTACAGATGGAAAGATATTGTACAAGTGCTCACATATCTTGTGAACCATGATGCAAAATCTTCATCAAGTTTCTTATCCACTTCCTGCTCCGTAATTCGTGGAAAATTTTGATGAAGGGAGTCAATAAATTTCCTTTGGATCACATATAAGAAAAATAATATGTAAGTATTTTGATAATTATAATGTATAAATGTAAACAAAAGCTTGAAAGCTTACTCCACATATGGCTGCACTTCTCTACAATTTAGTAAAATATAAATATGAGATGCTTTAAGTTCTTCTTCGGATAGATATCTCCTATTTAGTTCCCCAAATCCTCGACTTGGATAGGTGAATATAGAAAGATTACCATCATATCTATCTTGTTCGCCTATACCACCATCATCATTTCGTGGCACTTTTCTATGCCTTGTGTAAACATGAGGCTCGAAGTAGTGTGAACAGAAGGATGAACCTTCATCAAATATATACTCATTGCATATGCATCCTTCAACATGTGCCTTATTTCGAACATTATATTTATATTTTCGAAGGTTTCTGAAAATAGTACAAAAGCTCAAGGCGTTAGTCATTCATAATGATGAAAATGAAGTACTTAAATAACAAAGTCTATTTTAGTGGTTAGGGACATATAAAAGGAATTACATATTGAGTCCATTGTACTATAAAATAGATGCTTTACCATTTATATACTTAGGAGTTCCTTTCTCTACTGAAAGGATGACAGTTTTGCATTGGAAGCCTTAAGTAGATAAAATTATAGCAAATATCACTAATTGGATGGCTAGAAGATTATCATATGTCGGAGGCTTCAACTAATTAGAGCAATAATGTTTGGTATCCAAGCAGACATCTATTTTTACTACCATAAAAGGTTATTAAACTCATCAAAGCTACTTGTAGAAAATATTTGTGGACACGTCTGACCAATATTTATAAAAGGATGCTTGTAGCATAACACAAAGTGACTCTTCCTAAAGGTGTAGGAGGCTTGACCATTAACTTGAAGGTCTGGAATCAAGATCCAATTTGCAAACTGTTGTGGTTATTGAGTTAGAACAAGGAAAGACTATGAATCAATTTGGTCCATACATACTATATAAGATATTGGAGACTAAAAGATCACATTGAGGTGCCCAATATGATTTTTGGATGATAAGAAAAATGTGTCATATGTTGAAATTCTGGCAGATTATCATTTTAAATACACAAATAGAACATAGGGGAAGGGGGATATCATACACTTATAAAACTCTAAGAGGTGTTGGAGCATATGTTCCTTAGAAAAATCTCATATTTCATAATACTACATGTTGTGAAGACTGGCCTATGCAACTAGTTAAGAAGTAACATGAGTTTATTTGAGTTTTTAAGTCCTATTTAATTTGAGTTATGACTTTCTATTGGAGCTACTGATTAAGGATTGTCATAAGGACTGTAAGGTTATTTAAGTGTTGTCTAAGAAGGGAAGGTTACTGGTTGGCTCCTCTTTAAGCTTTGTATTGTCGGTTAGTGATTAACAAAATCAGTTTAATTGCCCAAAAAAATGAAGTACTTGAATATATAAATGAAATATGAAATCTTACCTCTCAAATGGATACATCCATCAATATTGTACCGGACCAGCTAGCATTGCTTCATAAGCGAGATGCACAGGGAGATGCTCCATTGAATCAAAGAAGCTAGGAGGGAATACACGCTCTAATTTACAAAGTATTTCAGGTATTTCTTGTTGAAGTCGTACCATATCCTCTTCACGTATTACTGTAGCAGTGACATCCCTAAAGAAAAGACTCATTTCAGTAAGTGCTTCCCACACCTTTTTTGGTAATAGCTTACGGAATGCAATAGGAACCAATCTTTGCATGAATACATGACAATCGTGACTTTTCATACCAAATAACTTGTGTTTTTTCATGTCCACACACCTTCCCATATTTGAGACATATCCATCAGGAAACTTCAGATTTTTCACCCATTCACACAACAATTTTTTTGACTCTTCTTTTAGTGTGTAAATAGCATTTGGGTATTTTCCATCAACAACATGTAATTCAGGTCGTCGACAGAACTCTTTCAAGTCTTCTCTAGATTTTGGGTTATCTTTTGTTTTACCATCTACATCCAGCACTGTGTTGAACACATTCTCAAAGAAGTTCTTCTCAATGTGCATCACATCTAGATTATGCCGAATGAGATTGGTACTCCAATATGGCAAATCCCAGAATATGCTTCTCTTCTTCCAACCAGAAAATCTACTAACCCGACGATTAATAATATCAGCCCCAAGTTCTGTTACCTTTTTAAGTCCCAGTTCTTCTATCTCTTTTAAGACAACTTCACCTGACCGGAATGGGGTAGGCTGCATGGTTACTACTCTATTCTTTCTAAATGAGCTCTTATTTTTTCTATATGGATGATTCAGTGGCAGAAACTTATGATGGTTGTCAAACCAGGACTGCTTACCACCTTTTGTCAAAGTAAAAGCATCATAATTCTCCATACAATATGGACATGCTAGCCTGCCCGCACTCCACCCAGACAACATTAAATATGCAGGAAAGTCACTGATTGTCCACATCAAAGTAGCTCGCATTTTGAAATTTTGCTTCTTAGAGATATCGTATGTGTTGACACCTATATTCCATAGATTCTTCAATTCAGCAATCAAAGGCTGCAAGAAAACATCTAGTTGCTGCTTAGGATTCTTTGGCCCAGGAACTATAACTGACAAAAATAAATAGGGATCTTTCATACACATCCAAGGAGGCAAGTTGTATGGTGTCACAATTACTGGCCAAGATGAATATTGTTTTCCCGTTTGTCCAAATGGTTGAAACCCATCTGTTGATAGCCCCAATCTAACATTACGACTTTCCTCTGAAAAAGATGGATGCTTCTTATCAAAGTGCTTCCAGGCAGGTGCATCTGAACAGTGACGCATTACACCTTCCTTAACTTCATGTTCAGCATGCCATCACATGTGCGAAGCAGTTGCTTTGGAAGCATACAGTCGTTGCAATCGTGGAGTAAGAGGAAAGTAATACATCTGTTTAAATGGTACAAGATTTTTCTTTGAAATAGATCTTTGACTTGTAGGCTTGTACCTGGGATGACTACAAAATGTGCAATTTACAAGCACACTATCCTCTCCCCAGTAAATCATGCAGGCATTGACACAAGTATGAATTTTTTCAACTG